TTCGTTTCTTCTTGTCGTGGCCTTGTTGTGAAAAAACCCGGTGTTTTCATCTCGGTCTTTTAACCAGTCAGCGCGGATCTTTGTTTCCATAAGTGTTCTTCGTTAGTGTCAACTTCATCACATTCCGACTCTAGCATCCTCTGTTGTTGAATTACCTGGGGAGTTTTCTCCATCCTATCCAAAGCTTGGATCGCCCTCTCCAGTTGTTTCCTCTGTCTGGCAAAATTTGGGAAAACCCGAGTGCTCCATTTCTCCAACTCCTTTTTACAGTTTTCTAATATATCAAAAATATTCGAACCACCCTGTTGCCATGCCTCCTCAACAACCCGCAGGCAGTCTTCATGCTTAGCCCATAATGGGTCAAACCTGAAAGACCAACCCCACTTTATTGCTTCATCTTCCTCACCCTTCGTATCACATATAATAGTTCGATGATCGGATCGGTTCCAATCCAAATGCATGACCCGTGCACTTGAAAAATTTTCTAGCCAGCTTTCTGTAGCAACAAAGCGATCCAGTCTTTCCTTTGTGAATCCCACTTCACGGCCATTGTCCCAGGTGAAAGGGTACCCCTGAAAGCCAACGTCTACAAGTGCACAATCATTGAGACAATCCCGTAACGCTGCCATCTCCCTTTCCTCAGCTTGTCGCTCCCCTTTCTTTTCGAAACTTGAAACAATTTGGTTAAAATCCTCCCACCCCCCACATAGCCATGTACCATCACACTACTCACCTGACCTCCGTATGAGGTCACAAGTTTGTTCTTTCTCACTTGCTTCTGGCCACCATAAATACCAGTAAATCTCCAACTTCCCACGGTCGGCTCAATTATTTTCATGTCCATAAAATGCAAGTCACTATCTATCACCTCCGCCTGAACTTCCTCGGTCCACCAAATACTCAAACCGCCTACCCGACCTCCATTCTCTGTAACCTTTGGCCAGCATCTCCCATCATAGAAACCTAGTGATTCTCGAAGATTATCATTCTCGGGCACAAGCTGCTTCGTCTCCATCAGGAAAACAATTTGTGGGGAAACTTTACGCAATAGCATTTTCAGAGCTTTCCTTGCACGCGGGTTTCCCAATCCGCGGCAATTACAACACATGATCCTCATTTATTCCTCAAAGGGGATAGGTTACCCGCACCTTCAGATTGCTTTGTTTGCATACTTGGGCCCTTTTTGTTTACTCCCACCTGTCCTCCACCTTGTATCTTACTGCCCGCAACATCAGTCTTGGCTACTCTTTTCTCTTTTCCAATATTCGATTTCCTGACCTGGGTACCTTTTTGTCCTGATCCTTCTAGCGCTTTGTGCTGAGTTCTAGCGAAACTTCCTTCATTCTTCTTTGTGTTAATGCTCAGGTCCTTGTCCAGTCCCACCTTCATCAGTCCCTCCGTTTTTTCCTTCGACTTCTTACCTTCTTCACACTTTGACAAGTGAGGGCATGTCTGGACTTTATCCATTTTCGTTTGTATCTGGTCTCCCTCCTTCTGAGGTGTTTCATTACTGATCTCATCAATTCCCTTATCTGCCCTACCATTTATATCTTGTTCCAACTATTCCTTGTCCTCTAGAACCGTGAAGTGCGAGCCTTACTGCTCCCCATTCTTCCCCTCCTTCAGTGGGCTCGGATGATTTTGCGCGTTGCTCTCAGGCGGTTCAACTCTATTCTTATTGATCTTGATACGGGGTTTAACAACCATCCAACCACCATATATTCCCTGCGCCTCAGTATCTTCTTCCACAGGCTTTGGTGGTTCCTCACATTCTTCGGACGGATTTACCACCGTCGGACATACAAACTTATTGTGCCCATACTTCCCAAATTCCGTACATATCCGATGCAAAACCCTAAAAAAAACTCAAAGTAGTAGGTGATACCTTCTACTTTGTATTGGGACAAAAGTGGCTTTGTTAGATCAACTTCAACACTAACTCGAGAAATCATCCTCTATCCCCTGTCTGTGTTGCCCTATCAACTCGAACCGGTTTACCTATTCTGGACGCAATGCGCTCCACCGCTTCCCTATTTATGAATTCCCTTAGTAGATCCGGCAGCCGCACCCAGACCATCATCGACACCACTTCTGCCCATTTCGGATTAAAGTTCCGACGCCAGGGTCTGATTGTTATGTAGAAATCTCCGATCATCCATGGTCCACCCACCGCAGCTCGTTCATAGTCAACCTAGTTAGTGAATCTAACCACGTAGAATCCATACGTCATGCTTGACACTTGAATATTTCCAGTTTTAGCCCACAGAGTTTCCAAACACTTTGCCAACATAGGATACGGAAAGGATCGACCTAAAACCTTCACAATCAAAGTTGAACGCCATTCTCTTCTCCATCGTTGCTTTTCAAGAGCAGTAAACGGAATCGTAGGGCACCTCGGATCATCATCTTCCGGTATTTCATCATCCAAATCATCTTCTCTCATTGCTGCCGCAATATCCTCAGAATCAGACTCTGCTACATACCATTCAAATTCAGCATGCAGGTCGCGAAATAGTTTACGTGCACCTAGGGGTGGCAGCCGGTCGGTTTCGGTTTAACCGAAAACCGAAATATTGGTTTTCGTTTAAACTGAGACATGACCAACCACTACCGTCGACCGACCATCCCATTAGCCCCGGTTAGCAGCAAACCGACCAGCCGGTTTTCGGTTTAGGTGCGATTTAACCGGGGCAACCGAAAATGTGAAGGCCGGTTTAGGTGCTTGCCCACTGACCCCTTCTGCCAACCGACCGCCAAGGAGTAAGTCAGCACCAACGATCTCATTCAATCCACATCTCAGTTGGCTATACAAATCTGAAATTCCAATCCAAGGAATTCAATTTACCATCCAGTGAACAAGAAGAAATCGGGGGAACTGAAAACAATGAAGAATCAATGGATTTGATTAAGCATGCACAGGACCCAGAGCCACTAACACCGTCCCACTCGGCGGATTCAACGAAGATGGCGGCGTAGCTTCCGTTATAGCCGGAGCATTAGGCGGCAGCGGCTGCAGAGGCGGCGGAGACGCAGTCTCCTGCGCTGGCGGTGGGGGAGAGGAAGATGATTCCGAAGGAGGAGGGTTTGAGGTTGCTTACGTCGGGGGAGGAGGTCGTTGGGGGCTCGAGGCGAGGCGGATTCAACAAAGATGGCGGCGGAGCTCCCGTGATAGCTGGGGCATTAGGCGGCGGCGGAGAAATGGGCAGCGGTTGCAGAGGCGGCGGTGGAGACGTAGTCTCCTGAGCTGGCGGTGGGGGAGAGGAAGACGATTCCGAAGGAGGAGGGTTTGAGGTTGCTTCCAGCGGAGGAGGAGGTCGGCGGGGGCTCGAGGCGAGGCAGCGGGCAGAGACGCAGTCGCAGTCTCGCAGAGAGTGTGAGGTTTGAGGGAGAACGAAGGCCAGCTAGGGTTGTGGGAGAATGGGTGTGTTTAAGAGTAGGCAAAACGATATCGTTTCATCTCGGTCGGTTAGCATCGGTTAGCTGGTTAACCGGCTTTGGTTTATGGGCTAACCACTTGCCCACTGACCCCTTCCGCCAACCGACCGCCCCTCTATTTTTTCTGTTTTCGGTTAGCCGCTAACCAACGGTTAACAGTTAAACCGGCCGGTTAGCCACTAACCGGCAACCAAAATGACAGCCCTACGTGCACCCCAGGTTTCCACGCCGAACTCGGCTGCTGTTTCGTTGGCGACCCTTCTCTCCCCGAGATTGGGGAAGGAGTGTCTTCAGTCATATCTTCTGTCTCAAAGAGCGGGTTGTCCTCCATTGGTTTTGCTCGTTTTTTTTGCCTGTTGAGCTTCCTTGTCCCCCTTTGCGTTGGGAGAGGATGTGATCGGGCATGGTCGGCGGTTACCCGCACTGGTATCAGGGAGGTGGGCACTCAGGGGAGCTGCCCCCAGCGCAAGCGCAGCCATGTGAATCGGCGCCGCAGGCTTCATACAGGAATTGGGAAATCGCTGCTCCGTCTTATTCGGAGCAAGGGTTTCGTTTTTTCCTTATTTAGAGTAGGAGAGCTCAAAGTTAATTACATACAAATATTACCCGGGTACAGTCGTACAATAAAAAAATATGTTGTTTCTAGAGGTGGCAACTGGATCGGATTCGTGGATTGAATTGGCGGATCCATGAATCAAATGGATTGGATCCATTGGATTGGTGGATTCATGGATTGGATCAAATGGATTGGTGGATTGATCCATGAATCCAAATGACTTTAAAGGCTTGGACCAAAATGTAAAATTTGAAAAGTTTTGGTACTAAAATGTCATAATGAAAAATTTTTGGTACCAAAATGTAATTTTCCAATGATATTTTTCGTATAAAAATATAAATTTTAGGTACCAAAATGTAAAATATAAAAAATATAGGTACCAAATCATAATTTGCCATTTGGATCGATGGATTGATCCATGAATCCACCAATCCAATTGGATTTGGATCAAATGGATTTGATTAAGTGGATAATTTGGTGGATTGATTGAATTGGATTGGATTCATGGATTTGGATCTTAATTGCCATCCCACCTCTAGTTGTGTCCAATATCTATTGAAAAAACAATAAAAAAACGGCCAATACTACAGTGCCGCACTAAAAAGTGCGGCACCGGTGACGCCGTTTCTGATTGGGCCACATATACCTGATGTGGCAGTGACTGGATTCGCTTAACCCAATCCAAATATTGACCGAGCAATGGAACCAAACCCAACAACCGTCAAACTAACGGGCGTCTTCTTCATCCGTTTGATGGTTTTCATTTTCCATTTCCTTTTCATTTAAATACATTCATTATTCTCTTGGGAAAAAGAAAACGATCAAAAACTCGAAAAAGCAAACCCAAAAACGTCTCCTCCATCTCTCGTTCGTCTGGTTTTGAGGCAGTGCTCCGGCGAACTCCACGGTTGTTGATCCAAACTCCATACCCTGTGCTAAAGTCTTCACTGTATTCCTCCTCTCCCCATTGATCGTGTAAAATAAAACACGAATCCCTGGTTTCGACCGACCCTCTGCCTCCGTCGAAGAACTCTACCGATTCCGACGATCCCAATGAAAAGGAAGTGTCTTCACCCTCCCTCTGCAACGTCCCCTCTTTCTGCACTTTCTACTGTCGAAGCGGATTGCGACGTTCCTTGGTGCCTAGAGACATTGCCTAGCAAATCCAAAGGGTCCTGGTAATTCAATTTGTTTGTTATTTTAGGAACTATGAATTGGTCTCGTTTGGGTGCCGAATCAACCCTAGTTCCCTTTTGCCTCTCAGCTATTATGCCAGGGATGTTGCAATAGAGCTTGTTTTGAGTTTTTTGTTTTTTGTTTTTTCGTTTTTGGCGTTTGTCTTGTGTTTAACAAGCATAGGGACTTGGTTGCTCTGTCCTTGTTTTGCTTCTCTGGGTTTTTTTAATGATAATGATTTGATTAGTTAAATATGATGGTAAGATCTCTCGTTGATGTGTTACAGAGGCAGATTTGAGTGTCAAGCTTTTTCCCTTTGCTGTGGACAATATCTATTCTTAAGGTTTGTAGATGCTGGGTTTCATCCGTGCCACTTGGAACAGGATGGCAGATTGAGTCTTGTGCAGCTTTTGATTGTGTTTGGTTGTTTTCAGGGTTTCTTTTTTGGTCCAAGCTAGTCTTCGAGAAAGCTTATATAAGTTTAGTTATATTTTATAAGAAAAAAAACCCCAGGTCAATAGCAAGAGGACGCTAACCACGAAGAAACCTTCAAAGGGGAAGCAGGAAAACTAGTAGCCAGCATAGATAGCAGCATCCACAATGTAGCCGTCGCTGTTCTTATCTCCCATTTCTTCTACATGTACACTACATGAGCATATTAGCCCACCATCAACAACTTCTAACACTGATAATCTTCCCCACTGCAATTTCCCACAAAAGATAGCTATAAGAATGGTCGTAGCAACACCAGTCCTTCTTTTTCCCATTCGAGTACTCATTCATTAATTTAATCCAAGTACCCGGGAAGCACAAAGATCCCCAGAAAATCTAAAAAAAAACCCAAAAGCTCTAATCTACTGATATATAGTCAAGCATAGTATCCTGAATAAATGACTAGCTTCAAAGTTGAAATTGTGCTTGTGAGAAGAAGTTGGAAGCTTTGGAAAGATAAGAACACAAACAGAACTCTTTGATGGATGGAGCCATAGAGTGAGGCTTGTCATGACCTAGTTATTAAAGTCCTTACTGTTATTGGTGGCTTTGCTTAAGACAACAATTTTGGAAGAGAAATTGATGCTTTTGGATGACATGTTTTGGCTTATGCAATGCTATCTTTTGAAAGGTGTGGTGACTGCAAATCATGGTAGGATTAGAGTTTGGTCACTTTGTGAGTTCTCCCTTGGTTTAGTGTTCATAGATCCCCAGATAAGAAAAGAACAGATGGGTCTTTTGTGGTATTCTTTTCTTACTTGCTGCAATAACTGCAGACTTGTATCCACTATGTAATTCTTGTTTAAAACTAATAAAATGCATCACCATAATAAACCTGATAACTTCCTTGGAAACACAATAATGTCCATCTTTATGTAATTTGCAGGCTGCAGCACACACAAACCATTTGGAGTTGAGGAAGAAGGCTACGATCTTAGCATGGTACAGTGTAGTATGCCTGCTCACAAGGAAGTATGGGTGCTTGCTCACAAAATTGGTCAAGCAATTTCCTCATGGCTTATTTTGTGGTGTTTTCCCAGTGTGTTAAGTCTCTTAACTTTAGACTAGCTTTATGGGAGGAGCACTTGGGTCTTGTCATCGTTGTCGTTAATCATTTGATTTTTGTAGTTGTTTTCTTAACGCATTTGATATAATCTCATTTTGCAGGTCAAGATGTTGAAGCTTGTTTGATGGCGAGACTGGAGGAAGTTAAACAGTAGGTGAAGGAAAGAGTTGGGATTGGAGGCAGCATCGGAAGACTGTTACATTAATGTTTTCAGTAGTTGGTTGTGGAAGTAAGCCAGGTTCTTCCCTCGGAATGTAAACTCCTACACAATCGATCATGAGAATGAATATTTGGTCATTAGATGGAATGAGTTTAGTTTATTGAATGACAAGCTTTGTTCAAGGTTCATTTCCACATATTTGTGTTCATTATTCAGTTTGAGATCCATTCATTTGATTCCTCAGTGCTGACTTTTATTACTGGTCATTTAGTATGCTGCCAAGATTCTTTGTTATGTATGTATGTTAAGTCCTTATATGGATAGTACTTTTTCCCCATTTTGGACCGTCAAACTGAAGCGTTCTTTAGGATGGAGTTCAATCTGAAAGAAATCTTTCTGCATGGCATAAAAAGCTGGCAGGAGGCTGAAACTGAAAAAAAAAAGAGGCAGAGTTTATCTTTTTGCAGAGTCTGATTCCTTACTTGTAGATTAACATCAGTAGTGAATGATTGGGGGGGATGAATCTCAAATGTCATTGGAGTATGAACATCATAATGAACTTTACCAACATATATGAGATCCTGTGTATCATAGAAAACTATAAAACTGCAATTTCATTGTCCTTTTCTTAGCTCCCCCATTCTCATCATCTACTTCCATCGTCGATGGTTGATCAGTATCAACAGCCATCTCGTCGCCTTGCGTACATTTGAAGTCTCGTAACGTTTGAGCTTTAGATGCATCGAGCAGCCTCTCTTTCAGCACACTAGAGAAGTTTTTGTAGAGAGCAAGGAACCGTTCCTAAATCGCCAATCATGGTTGGCAAAGAATGTCCAGTACCAACATTAGTAGGTCGAATGAAAGTGGGAAGAGATGGTTATTAATCTTTCAAATGATGTAATTACCTCGTTTTCGACTGTGGCTCGAGCAAGTAGAGCCTCCTTAGTGTCCAATGAATCACGCACGAATTCTTCCTCTTCTTTGGCTTTGTGAGCATGAGATTTCAACCGCTGCATCTTACAGGGCTATCCACCCATAACGGGCTCTCCATTCATCAAAGTAAGCTTAGACTCGGAAGCATCTAACTCTGTTTTGCCCTGGCTGCAGCTTCTTCAGCAACTAGAACATTCTTCTAGAGAGACAAAACCTCCTTCCTCAAGTCCGACATACATTTATAAGTTTTGCTAATTGCATTCCCCAGAATCTGCAAAAGTTACGATAATTAGACATATTAAGTCAAATGCACTTCTTTCATAAATAGATTTATGGATGTGTTTGTTTTGGCAAAGAGTAATGCACTTAGTCAAGCTAACTTTTGAGAATAACTCTTCAGCCAATACTAACTTCGTAAAAGAATTTCTTATGTGGTGAGACAAACAAAGTTTGGCGCTGACTCTGGAATATCTATACTAGCTGCCAATTAGTTCTAACAGAGGCTCAATTTATTGGAATAATCTGCCGAGAAACACCTCTATTAACAGAACATAATTTGCTGGATATTAGTATTGAGAGAGTTATCCACCCCATCGTATAATTGAAGGTGAGATCAGGTAGATCATAACAACCCGGATTTAAAAAATATTCAGCACAATGTGATACTAGAGGAAACTATCTTATTTATTCAAGCATATACTTCAAGAGATAATCATCTACAAAACAGGAATAAATGATATTTATGATTAATAATAGATAATTCAAGCATTTGAATTCATATCAAACTCTCTTGTTACTGTGGACTATAAACACACGTAACTCTTTTATGCCTGTGAGTTTTCGTGTAAGGGTGTAGGGGTTCTGGAGCCACAGGTAATAGTTAGCTTCCTTATTTTTTTCTACCCTATTTCCACAGTTTGGTATTACAGATTAAGTTATGTGGGCATATGTTGGATGATTGGCAGCAATTGTTTGGCAGAATCGACGTGCCGGGTGGATAGCTAAGGTATGTGTTCAATCTGAACAGCAATTTCTATATGAACTTACTAGTGTTATTTTCATGTGCAAATCCGTCTACTAAGCTAATCAAGAAACCCTGTTCCTATAATGCACTAGCACATAGACAAAATAGGGATTCCTCATACACTGCAGACATTGGTTCAGCAATGAGAATCAAACACCAAAGCAGCCAATTGGGTTTGAACTGAGAATCTCCCAACAAGCTTTAGTAATTGGTTCAGCAAACATACAGAATCAAACACCAGTAATGGTGATATAGTCGTATCTTAGAATTAAAACGAACAAAGAAGAACTAGTAAGAATACCTTTTTTTTCGCTGAAATTGTTCAAATCCTCCAACACCCTGCTAATTGCTTCCAAGGCTAGATTCTGTTCTTTTGCCACTCGCAACATTGTGATTTTGTAATTTCAAATCGTCAAACTCCGCATTATGGGAATTTTTTGTGGTTAAACTCTGTATCGAAGAACTCTAGAATTCATTATGAAAATTTTTGGAGCGCGATCTGCCTGTGGAGATCTGTATAGCAACGACAGCCCATCGACTGGCCTATCGACATTCTTTGCCACTGATGCATGCTCGGCTTTCGAGTCGGCCAATTGAGTAGATTAGTATTGGCGAGTTCTTCTCAGGGAGTAAAATATGATCTTAGTTTGAACAGAGAAGAAGGTACTTTTGGGCGGCAGAAAAAATGGAGTAGAATAGATCAGCTTGCTCTTGTTCTGAGTCGAAGAAGCGAGAAGAAAAGCGAAGAAAGAAATCTTTTCATTTTGTCGAGTTCTCACCGTGACGGCAATGGTGGATGAGCGGCGCGCTGGGAGCGTCCAAAAAAACAAATAAAGAGATAAGGGGGATTAAAGAAAAGAATATATAAAATAAAAATGATTAATTTTTAAAAATAAATAATTACTGAATAATCTATCTATCTATATCTATCTATCTATAAAATATATTAAAGGACTTTCTAAATGAGACCTATTCCACGTCAGCCTTATACTGCTCCCCGCAAGTTTCGGCGATTTTCTATTTTTCATTTAATTTTTCATTTCCAATCTCTGTTCTCTGCTTCGCCTACTATATTTTCGCATTCATTATTCTTTTTCCATTAAACTTTATTTCACAGCTGTTTCTTTTATTTTTCAATTAATATTTAATACTCATAATTTTGGTGAAAGCATTTCCACCTAATATATGATTTTAAATGGATGGTGTTGTGCGAGGGTTAACAGAGTGGTGTGAAAAATAAAATTTAATTCAAGCTAAAATCAAAGTTTGTAAAAACGTATTGTATTAATGGTCCAATCGGGAAAATCTCTTATCAAAGTCTAAATCGGTAAACGATTTTTAGTCGCATGAAACGATTGAAACGCAATTAAACTTCGGTTTTCAACATAAAATACCTATTGTAGACTTTTTTATACATCCGATTTGGTTTTACAATTCTTGGTGAAAATAAACTCAATTTTTACTACGTGTAATATGTGTTTTATATATTACAAACAAATGTTTGTTTATAACAAATCATAAATGTCACGTACATTCAAAATTCAACGATATTCATAACAATGCGCATACTTTTACGAGAATTTTTTTCCAATCAAACAAATATAACTTTAGTATTCAAGTGATTTGAAATATATTGAAAAGCAATAGTGTGTTTATATGAAATATATTGAAAAGCTATAATGTATTATATACACGCTTTAACCAATAATAAAATATACTCAATCAAAATATGTGTTATGCATGTTTTGAATCATGCCGTAGAGGAACATTTGAACAGAAGAGTTATGAAATGTATATGTCTAATGTTTTGGACGGTAAATCAACAAAATTTATTAACGGACTATAAGAAAACATCCCGGCCAATAGGCCGGAGACAAAGCTAGTTGTAATAATTAATCTATTAAAATGATTAAGATGATTAACCTAATGAAATATCCACTTCTCATTTGATTATCACTTTTTCCTATGAAAATTGTATCAAGTATGTACTATTTGTCAATAATTATATAGTAAATATAATTAAATAATTATATAGTAAAATACATTAGGGGAAATTTACCTATAAAATAGGTATAGATAATTTATTTTATTTCAAAGTTATTGTTATGTTTATTAGTATGTTAATAGTCATAAATATATAATTAATTATTTTAATGTGGTTTTTTTATGACAATTAGGAAGATGGAAAACACAAAGGATCAAAGTGCTGATATTGCTGGTGTCTTGGAGTCTGTCCAAGCCATCAAAGAAATCATAGTGAGTTTTGACACACGTATGAAATTGGTGGAACTACAACTGGATACTGTAAAGGACCTACAAGAAGATTTATTAACATTCATGAAGACACATAGAAGAAGTCTTGGTCTGGATGCAGAACATGTCATGTCTATGGAATCAGTTGGTAATGAGAGTTCGTCAGTGGAGGTAGGTTGACTTTTTTGTTTCGGTTTGATATATATGCGTTTATGTTTAGTAATCTGATAGTTAGACAAATAATGGGGTCGTGGACACTATAAATTGATGTAGTATTATTTGACAAATTCAAGAGGAAGGTAGAGAATTTAATCTTAATGATGTGTACTCATCAGCTCGAGAGTTGCGTGCTGATGCGGAGCGCAAACCAAGCAAGTGGGTAAAATCTCCATATGCAAATGAAAAAAAAGAGGAAAGTCTTTTTGGTTGGTCCGTTCAAAGTGGGTCGTCCTGCCTCAATTGAAGACCTTTGGCTGATCAAGTATCTGTTCGAAGCTGACATGAATGACTGGTTAAAATCTATACCTAACTCTATTTCTAATGTCATTGTTTGATTCTTTGTTTTCACATACACTAACATTTGTTTGTTATAGTGATGTTGTGGTATCTAGTACCAACGTGTATATTATGTGTTGACCTAAGGTCCTTAGCTCCCAACCAAAGGATCGAGTTCGGGGTAAGTATTGCATCATGGTTTAGTTTAACAAAGTTTGATATATGTTGCTATGAATTAAGTACACATTTCATATTTAAACTTTACGTTGTGTGTCGAATTTGTGTAAAAGGTCATTGATGGAGTTGTGGGAAAGCTTACTATCGAGGAGTCTAAAAAGGTTGTTCCTACAAACACATTCCTACCGACTATAGTTGGGGTAATCCACAAGCCCAATTCGTATCCATGGACTTGCTTCTATTGATTTCATAATACTCTATGTATTAATGTGCTTATTTGTTGTAGTTGAAGTCTGGAGACACCCAGATCGAGTTTTTCAAGTATATGACTTCTCAAAAGCTGGTATCGGAATATTGTTCAAGGATCAAAGACTCTGAGCGGGTATGGTCGCATTTGAATGTTGATTTTTGTTTTATGAAAGTCCCTTCAAACCATGTGCAAAATAGTCATTTTACCTTACTTTTACTTTTTGTTCTTCTCAGATTTTCGTACCAATCTACTTGGCCCTTCACTTTGCCCTTATGGTCGTTGATATAAAAAATCGTGAAGTAGCAATTTGGGATTCATACCAAACACATACAAATGACCCCGATCTGGAGGCTAAAGCAAAAGAAATTGTGAGTTGTCGCTTCTCGTTCACATCTCTTATTACTTAGTTTTCGCAGAAATACCAACCTAAATATTTTAACACACATTTTTTTACAATTACAGGTAACAATGTTGGACGTTCTATTTGGTAAGGACTTTAGTGGTATTCTTGATGATGATCACCCATTTCAACGCTTTCCCATTCAGTTTGTAGCGGAGGCCCCTCAACAATCCAATGAGTGAGTTACCATCGTGTGCTTCATATAATGATTCGGTTTCACGCTACAACGATAGTGATAATAACTACAATCTATATAATGCCATTTTTCATTGGACAGCGATGATTCGAGTATGTTTGTTGTGAAGTTGATGATAGGTGCAACATCGCTAGACACGGCCGCAAGAGATATGAGAAAAGAGGTAGCTATCATTTAAGAAACCCGTCAGTACATCATCGTTAGAGAAATTTGTGGTGCAATCTAATTGACTATTTGAACTTATAGTTCCACAGTGAAGAAGAACGACTGAATTTAGCACTTGAATTGGTGAAGTGGGAGTTTAACAAGAAGAAGGACGAGATCGAGGAAGAGGCAAAAAAATATGACGCGACTAAAAAGGTTGCACAAACCAAGGGCAAACCAAGGGCTTTGAAAGGACGCAAAGGAAAAAAGTGAAGTGTTGCTAATCAGTACTCCTCTTATGTTGCCTTTCCATTAATCTCTTTTGTCTTCGATGAGTTGATTTCAGTTTACAATGATGGATTCTGTGTTGGCTTATTTAGAACACTTTGAGATCAACAAATCTGGTTTTGTTTTCATTATGGATAGATTAATAATTTGATTGGAAATTTTAATTTTCCTTTTCATAATTGGGGGTATTTATGATTTGGCATTAATAATTTGTTTCAAATTTGTATTGTGAGACCGAACTTTTGGCTCCAACATTATGGCGCCTTAATTTTGCTATTTCTAATTTCTACAAGCTAGACAACTAAGGTTTCTAATTCCCTCCAACAAAATCCCCAAATATGTGACTCCCACGTCCGTCTCAGACCGCCACCATCCGCGTGTGTGTCTATCATCACCGCCACCCCAGAACCACCCCCGCTACCCCAATTGCATTAGAGAGTTCAACGGCGACTACGACGACTGCGGTGGAATCGTCGACGGCGGCGGCGGTGGATTCGTCGACGACGACGAGATCGTTGCGTCGAGGTCCTCCGTGATCAATTCGCTCCGTGGGTGCGGCCTGTCGGGGGTCCGAATCGACAAGGAAGTGCTGAGGAAGAGTGCCAACTTGATCAGGTTTATACTACTGCATCCAAGTAATTCTGCTGTCAACTGAGAAATGTTGTGCAAGCTTGAATTCCCCTGGCCAGACCTTTCATTAGGTTATTCTTTTAAAGAGTATGATCTTATAGCCTCAATTGTTGATATTTAAATGGTTGATTCTCATGATTTGGAAGTTGAAGGGCGGCTGCCTGAGAAAATGGCTTGCTACGAAGGAGTGTTCTATAACTACTTCAGCATAGGTAATACCTTACACTATCTGTATGTGATTGGTAAATTTGTCTGCATATATTATTTCCGTTAACTTACTGCTCAACTTTGGGTCTAAGGTTGTCCATTTGTACTGCCGTAACCACGGATTCTAGATTTTTATCAGAAAAGGAAAAGTCATATTTGACTTTCATTTTGAGTTAAACTATTGCACTTATTTCATGCTTCATGGTAAACCTAACTGAAAGATATTGATTGAGTGTGCCTTATTATAGTGTCACAAGGACTAAAAAGGCTCTGTCGTGCCTTCACAGTAGAGGAACTGAAACTTTGGTTTCTATCAGGAAGCTCAACTTTTTGATGTTGTGTTCCTACAGGGATGGATGCCCAAGTTGCCTATGGCTTTCACCATTTACGCAATGAAAAACCGTACCTTGCACAAGGTCCCATTGCAAACAAGGTAAGGCGATCTTGTTCATTATCTTACGAGTTGCCTAGAGGACTTTGTAATGTACTATAGACAACCTACCGTGGATATGTGCCCAGTAAACTCATTTTTGGTACCATTTACAGTCCTTGTACTCCCAAGAAGTATTTTAGGAAGACTACACTTCTGTTGTTTCTGAGAAATGTTGTTCGGCATTCCTATTAATCTTCTTGTGGTATGATGCAGTCAATATACTCTGGTTACAGCTGCACCCAGGGATGGTTTCTCACTCCTTGCATTAATGATCCCAGTCTGAGGTTAGCTTATCTCCAACCAAATTTGTCAGTGATTCATTGTGGGGAAGCAGGAGGGCAACTTTCCTCTTGTTTGTTCATGTAGCTTGCTTTCTTGACAATTTGATTTAATGAAGATCAGTACTAACTCGAAGTTGATTGCTGTAGAGGGCTCAAAAATATCTTGAGGATGCACATTAAAAAGGTTAATTGCCGAGAATGGGAGCAGATCCCTGTTCCTAAAAGGTTAAAGTCTGCCTTCTTTTGTCCTCATCATCAATTTAAAGATTTCACTGCTGTTTTCATGTATTTGTCGGTTTGTTCACCTTTGATCTTTTCCTTCTTTGTTTTCTACAGTGTGAGAGCAATCGTTTGTTTGAACCTTCACAACTATGGAAGTGGGAGAAATCCATGGGGTAATCCAACTGTTGACTACTTGGAGAAGGTAATAACACAGTGTTTCATATTTTAGGTCATCTGCAGGGTGTCCACAAGCTGAATCAGGTTTGTCCGTACTTGTTCTTTCGAGCATATAATGACCTGTACAAAAACATTTCCTGTCTGCTTTCACAGAGGGGATTCGTCGAGGCTCATGTTGACGATGGTCTCCTAGAAATTTTTGGTTTGAAGCAAGGGTGGCATGCATCATTTGTGATGGTCGAACTCATATCCGCAAAACACATAGCCCAGGTACAGTATCAGTTGCATTGATGTTTTTCCATGCATACTTGTATTGGATGAACTCAGACTCCACCTAAGGCACTGTAAATCGCCCTAACAAAACTCATCATTTAGCATTGCTGCCGCCTCTGCCAGTCTGTGCCATTATGTTGCTGGATGTAACAACCCAACAGATGGGATAGTCAAAAGTTAGTGACTTATTAGGGTGAGTGTGGTGCTTTGATGTGATGCATACAATCAACTTCGGATCAAATCAGTTTAGCCTGTAGAACTCCATACTTGAAGCAAACTAGACAGCAACGTAGCAATGTGTTTCAAACCGTTGGTTTTCTTGATCCAACAATTTCCTGTCTGTCTTTCCTCAGGCTGCAGCAATCAGACTCGAGATGAGGGGAGGAGAGTGGAGAGATTCTTTCCTCCAGATGGACGGGGAGCCATGGAAGCAGCCGATGAGCAGGGAGTACTCATCATTTGTAGAAATAAGGCGGGTACCTCATCAATCAGTTATGATCAGCGGCGAATAGTATGGCCTCCGGAAACCAACAAAAAACCAGTAGCTCTGCTCTATCAAGGGGAAGATTTGTCACATATTCTTATCATGTCACTGGGGATGAAGGAAGGGGATCGCTGAAAAAAACTCTGTAACACGAAAAAAAAAATGGTCTGTCGATCCCCTGAACCAAAATCTGTACCATTTTTTTTACCCTTTCCCCCCATCTCCACTGAGAGTGCCCCTGAGTGTGTGTCATTTTAGCTATAGCCCTCCTGCCTACTGGCATTCCATTGTATCAATAATTGACAGTAGGTGTGAGTGATCACTCTCTCCTGCAGGCTCTGATCATGTTGAAATATAACCAGAATTCTCTTGCTTGCTCTCTTTGCTTGTTTTCCATTTTGGCTGCTTAACCAGGGCTGCACAATGATTCGATCCACAAGGCATTGAGCTACTGCGTATCTCCGTTTCGTTACATCGATCTTTCAAAGTAGTGGACTTTCAATCTCTTGGCGCTAACATGCAGAGTTTTCTGCATTTCTATCCCGTGTTTGTTTGAGATTGCTGCAGATGCTCTAAATCATGTAGTTTTAGATGTAAGACACTGCCACACCTTCTCCACGCCAAATTTGCATAAAGAAAAAAAAAAAGAGTGTACAAGGGGGATTGAACCCACTACCTTATGCATGTATGATAACGATGTAATTGCACATGTTTGCGCCCCTAGTTCTTATCCGTTTGAGGGGCATAGTCGTGTGTTGTGACCTATTTTACGCCGGGTTGTGCTATTTTGTCATGTTTCAGGTCCCAGGTGTCAAAGGGAAGGCTAAGCGCGAGTTTTGGGGCATTCGGAAGTCATTTCGGTGAGCTGGAGCCAAAACACGGGCAGACCCAAGGCATTACACGGCCGTGTACTGCTGGCCGTGCTTTTTATGCCGAGAGCAAATTTGGTTTGGCCAATTCAGTTGCAAACACGGGCACTGAAGCACGGCCGTGTCCATCGCGAAGCACGGCCGTGTTTCCACCAGCTGCTGGCCGTGTAATTAAACCTTGGCCGAGACACGGGCGGAGTCAGGCAAAGCACGGCCGTGCCCTCGACCGTGCTTTGGCCACTGATGCTTTTAAGCAGATTTTCAGCCACAACTCAAGGGGATTCGAGTTTTTGAGAGAGAGATCAGTTCCTAGAGAGAGAAAGTGACGAGCAAGAGTTCCCAAGTGCCCTAGATTGATCTTCAACACCATTGGAGGCCAGTTTGAGCTTGGAGAAGTGCCAATCAACGTCCAGAAGCAGGAATCCATCCTTCGCAGTATGAATTCCGTGTCTGATTCTGCTTTTGCTTTCTTCTCCATGGAGTAGTTCTCCCATTCATCTGGGTATGGAGAACCCTAGATTTGTATGTTAGGCTTTGATTGTATGAACCCAAGTACTGATTCTGTGATTGATTATATTCGATTGAGGTTTTAATGATTGGATGACTTGAATCCTGATCAAATTCCTGTTGTTTCTGCTTTGACCTAGAATGAGAATATCTGCCTAGGTTGATAGAGCATCCTTGATTGAAGGTAGGGAGTTGGTGACTTTAGTCGAGGAGCCAACTCACTATTCTGTACCGGATTTACTCCGGTAGTGGAGGTTTTGTTCTTAGGGCCTCAATCTGTCGACTCCGGTGGAGGTTAGTCGCCCGCTAGAGAGTCAGATTGAGAGGGTCTGAAGACCTTTAGTCGAGACTTCAGGCTGTTTAAGAACCTTCCGCAGTATAACTGTCATAGAAACTGAACTTGGTAATTACAATCCGGCTTAACTGCAGTCTAGGGGGAACCATATCCGGGTGACCTCTCTTAACTTGAATACAACCGTTTACCTGCTTTGTTAGTTTGTTAGTTAGACTTGCATTCCAGTTTCATTGCTAGATAACAAGAATTCACTGAGTAGTCATCACATCTAGGACCCGGGTTGATAATTAAACCCAAACCCGCTATACTACGCTTTAGGAAGTGGTTTCACTTGGCCAATTCCTGGAGTGACAGTAGAGTCGAGTCAATGTAAATATTCTCAATTGTCAATTAAGTCAGAGTCTTAAATCACTAGGCTGGTCGCCTGTCATTCATAATGAAAGCAATCTCTTTTATTTTTATACAGACATCATCTTAAAACGTAAAATCGCATTGAATGTGATAGGAATCCTTCGGTTCTAGGAGTGCACCAACAGCTCATCAGCCATGTTAAAGCTGCAAATTCTGTAGAGAAAGCAACATTGAACTCCATCCTAAAGAACATTTCAGTTTGACAGTCCAAAATGGGGAAAAAGCACCATCCATATAAGGACTTAACATACATGCATAACAGAGAATCTTAATAGCATACTAAATGACCAATAATAAAAGTCAGCACTGAGGAATCAAATGACTGGATCTCAAACTGAATAATGAACACAAATCTGTGGAAATGAACCTTGAACAAAGCTTGTCATTCAATAAACTAAACTCATTCCATCTAATGTTGAGGTATTCATTCTCATGATCGAGTGTGTAGGAGTTTACATTCCGAGGCAAGAACCTAGCTTACTTCAACAACCAACTACTGAAAACATTAATGTAACAATCTTCCGATGCTGCCTCCAATCCCAAGTCTTTCACCTACTGTTTAAATTCCTCCAGTCTCGCCGCAATCAAACAAGCTTCAACATCTTGACATGCAAAATGAGATTATATCATATGCGATAAGAAAACAACTACAAAAATCAAATGATAACGGCAACAATGACAAGACCCAAGTGCTCCTCCCATAAAGCTAGTCTAAAGTTAAGAAACTTAACACACTAGGAAAACACCACAAAATCAGCCATGAGTAAATTGCTTGACCAATTTTGTGAGCAAGCAACCATACTTCCTTGTGAGCAGGCATACTACATTGTATCATGCTAAGATCGTAGCCCTTCAGTATCCCAAAATCACTTGGCTGCTTGTTCTATATATGTTTGTTCAGTAGCTCCAAGTGCTAAACTAAAAATGCAGCAGCTATACCTTCCTTTACCTTACAACAACAGGAATCCACCTATTCCATTAACCCATCTGCCACTAGTCAATGCAGAATCAATTTCCTAATGATCCCACAAATCTCGCATTGTTTCTTTCACCAAGCTTGGTAATCTTGACCTGTATAAAGAGATTATATCGGGTGTTTTACGCTATATACTGACAAAAGTTTCAATCAAGATCTCCAGCCACATACATATACAAAGATAAGTTTTTCACTGCTTTACAATAAAATCTAAGAACATACCTATTGATCACTAACTTGCTGATCATATGAAGTATAATATTCTCAGCTTGTAGACGCATGAGCTCCTGCACATTAACAAAAAATCGGGTGATTTACTTCATAAGTAGAAACAGTCTAGTCGTAACAAAATGAAACTAAATAGATATAGTTCCATACCTGTATCTCCATGATCTTTTTGTGGACATGTGCGAACATCATGTCCTTCATTAGTGCAATGACTACAACGTCTTTTGGTTGGCTGGGTTGATGATTCACTCTTACGTCCTTTTGTTTTCACAACATGGGGAACTTTAATCCTAATACTTGGTGTTCTTTCTGCTGTTTTCTCCATGGGTTCCAATCCACCATTCTTTCGCCAAATTTCCTCGGCCAACACACTCAACCTCTCGATTTCCTGCTTCACCAGCTTGTATCCTTCCTCCGTTTTTGATGCATACCGACACAGCTTGCCAAAGCTTCCATTTAGATTACCAGATCTCACCATAGCATGTAACTCTTCATTTTGCAGCTCTGGGTGGACTGATTGCACATGACACTCTTTCTTAGCATCCTTGGACCATCGTTTCACCACCAAAGAAGATGGAACAACTGACATGTTATTAACTTTCATCACAAAAAAACAATGACTGCATGGAATGCCTTTGCTCTCGAGAAGCTAACAAGAACAATCCAAGAAGCATTAATGTTCGAATATTTGCTCACCTCATAAATGTGCTTCTCCCCATTCACCCTAGTCGACACACAATATAGCAATGGCTCCTCCTTAATCCTCTTCCGCACTTTAAAGAACATTTTGCGAGTATAAATTCTACCAAAATGTTCCTCAATACTCCGAAGATGTGTATCACACACATGGAAGGTATCAACACTCACAAAATCCTCCTTTGCCTCCTTGTTTCTCAACCTTCGTAGACCTCTATCGACTTGTAGGAATAACTCATACAGTTTCAATTTCCTATCCAAAAAACGATTCAAATAAGAGTTCATCCCTTCAACGCGCTGTGAACTCTTCATTCCAGCAGTGAACGTGCCAGAGAAAAATGCTTGAGCCCATTTATGTCGCTTCCCATACAATTCAGACAACCATTCATTGCTGCCTAACTGGAACTCTTCCATACCTTTACTCCATACCTCCTCAAATTCATCAATCGAGTCAATCCGTTTTCACAATCTGTCAAATACTTTCAAAAACTCCTTTGGACTAACATTTGATTCTGCATTCCTTCTCAAGTGCCAGCAACAAATCCTATGAGCAGCACCAGGGATCAACTCCTTAATGGCCCTCTTCATTGACATACCACCCATCGGTAATCACAACACTTGGGTGCTTACCTTTCATACACAAGAGAAAAGTTTTAATTACCCAATTGTAGCTCTCTACAGTTTCGCTGGGTAACAAAGCACACCCAAATACTGTAGTTGCGTGATGGTGATTCACCCCAACAAATACGACAAGAGGCATCTTGTATGCGTTTGTCTTATAAGTTGATTCAAAAACTAACACATCACCAAAGCAAGAGTAATCAAACCGGCAGGTGGAGTCGGCCCAAAACAAATGTTTTAGTCTGTTATCCTCATCGAGTGTGAACTTGCAGAGGAGTTCTGAATCAATTTCATACTTAGCACGTAAGTATGGTAATACAGACTCTGCATCACTATGCACTTCAAAATTCTTACCTCCATCCACGAAATTGTACAAATCCTTGAGAGTAAAACCGACGTTGTGATAGCCACCTACTTCATTTACCCTCAAATCCATTATCTGACTCGGTTTCACACCCAACCCTCGCAGTGACTCTACTTGTGCCTTATCACCCTCCTTCAGTGACAGATGAGACCTTAAGAACTGCACTTGTTCAGGTCCAACTCTATCATGATTATGCTCGGAAACAAACTCCTCTACCTTGTACTTCTCATCTTTTTTTATTATTATCAAATTTCACCTTGAACGAAGCAAGACATCCGAATCTAGTCACCGCCTTTGCTTCCCTCTTCCTATCTTCTCTATTCAAATTTTCTTCAGTTCTCGCTCCTTCTTTACAACAAACCCATTTTCGTGATGTCCATTTCCCATATTTGTTAACCTTTCTGTCCCTTTTTCTGACACCAAACCCCATATACTTGCTTTAATTGTTGTAAAAGTTTTCAGCTTCATCAACAGAATCAAATGTTACCTCCTTCAAATCATGAAACCCCCAATCCTCTATGTTTCCAGGAACATTAATGTTCAAGAGCGACATCCCCGTATTTTCACGGGAATGACCAGTACTTTGACTTTGGGCAGCTGTATCAACATTCTCAGTAAGTATGTCATTCTGAATATCATCTCCATGAGCTAAAGAGAGCTTCTGATCCTGCATACCAAATTCACTTATTACTTCACTTTAAAACAATAATGTAATCCTGATATATTGTATAGAGATGCACACCTTCCATTCAGGCTGCACTGTGTTCACTTTATCGCCTAGCCTCTTTATTTCAAACAAACCTTCAAGGATAAACACTACCCTTACCACCTGTCAAAGATTACAAAAACATCATATGAACCGTCATTACCAAGATTACAAATTTAACTAAATGCCTAACTAATTTATTTAAACGCCATCTTGTTTCTCATACACCAAACTATTCACATATCTAGAAATCGGTACCCTGCCTTAGATCCCTTGAACACAACTAATATTTCATATCTACAGGAGAGAAGAATCACAGCACATACAAGCCAAAGGGGTTCATATTGAGGACATTGGCAGCAAACTTGTTCTCAAGGTTCAAACTCTATGCTAGATTGGCACTACAAGAGCTACCCTAAAAAATGTTTGTGACTTGGAAGAGATTATTTCAAGACAAGAAGAATAAAGCAACGTGAACTTGTCAGCATATAGTGATAATGACTTTCTAAATGTGCAGATAAACATGACTGCAAATTTTTCTTATTGGAAGATGTTGCTCATAAATGAAAGTTGGAATAAACGCCACTGGAACAACAGTTATAGCTGTTTGTTTATGCATAATTATACACACAAGTAAACGAATACACAACTTTGCAAAAGATAACAAACACTCAATCAAATCAAAAAGGGCTTACAACCTAGCTATCCCAGTTCATCTTCCATATCAATTACAGAGAGTTGTTCAAAATATACTACTATGCCACCACCTTCTCATGCCATTTTCCATGCCGAGTTGCTCATACTAACTTCTAATAAAAACAGATTCCTCAATCCGATATGCATATCATGTTCTACGAGAATTCCATATATATTGCAGAGACATTATGCCTAGGAATCCAACTGAAAGTAGCTATACCTTACCTTACAAGAGCAGGAATCCAACTGAAATTACCGAGTTAGCAAAGAGATTCTCGTGCAGAGGTTAGTCCTGGGCGACAGATGAGCGGGTGAGGGAAGTTTTGATACAAAATAGAGAGGACTGACTATGCAGGGGTCGGGTTCGCCGCAATCGACGCGTAAGATTGACCCTGTAGATGGGATCGACGACGAGGGCAGGAATGATTTGGGAGCGACCGCCAGTGAAGGAGGCTTCTCTCCCCTTCTCCGACTTGGACTAGTCTTGTCGGTGTCGGCGGAGCAGTTCGACGCAGATAGAAGGCGTCCCCGAATCGATTTTGGGAGAACGTCGGAGGAGGAGATCGAGGGAGTTTTCTGTTTACCAGACGTCGGAGGGAAGGAGGAGATCGATTTTGAACAAGCCACCGTCGTCGTCCCCTGTTTACCAGACGTCGGAGGAGGAGATCGATTTTGAACAAGCCACCGTCGTCGTCCCCTGTTTACCAGACGTCGAAGGAGGAGATCGATTTTGAACAAGCCACCGTCGTCGTCCCCTGTTTACGAGACGTCGGAGGAGGAGATCGATTTTGAACAAGCCACCGTCGTCGACTCGTCGTCCCCTGTTTACCAGTTTTCTCAATCGTCCAGAAAACAAACTAATTCAATTTTTAATTAATAAAAATATAAATATAGTTGGAAAAAAAGAAAAAAAAGCGTTCAAGTTGGACGAAGAGGGAATCTCGGTTAGTGTGGGAGAGCCGGGTTGGTTTCAGTTCTGGTTATTCATGGGTTTTGGGTCGCGCTAATTAAACCACTCACTGCCACATCAGCGCCACATAGCCCAATCAGAAACGACGTCTAGTGCGGCACTGTAGTATCGGCAAAAAAAAAAAAACATATATGCATCCGCGTTGGCGATTCCTTTCCAGCCCGTGGGCCGGCCATCTAACGGGAACAAAAGTAGAAACTATAGCAGTCCAGCCCGATATTCCAACGAAAATCCATCCACAGACCAGACCAGAAACCAACCTGAAGAGAAAACTAACTCAAGACACCTGCGCACTCCCCGAACCCCAAAGCAGATAATCGATTAGAGAGACCCAGGGATAGCCGGAATTAAATCGTCGGAGGCATTTACTCTTACGTCTCTCCCTCTCTCCATATTGGAATCCGAAATCCGGAAATAGCTCCTTCCTCCGAATGCATGGCGTCCCGTATAAATCCCCATTTCCAGCAGCACGCGCCGTGTTTTGCTCTCCTACAATTACAAAACCCTAATACCCTTCTTCCCTCCATTCTCCCTCCATTCTCTTCTTCCTCATCATCGTTTCCTCCTTCCTCCTTGACTATCCACAAGGTACAACCAACCAACCAACCATGCCCGCCACAAATCAGAGTCAGAGTCAGCGTGTTTCAATGCGAATCTCCCTTAATTTATTAATCAATACTCTCAATTCTGCCTTCCTTCCCATGTTTGTTTTCAGATGTCTTGTTACAGTCCTTCGCGCCGCAGCTTTGTTACCGTCAACGCTCACATGACCACTGAGGAGAAGCCCGTCTCGCAGAACAGGATGCTCGTTCGTACCCTTTATCCAATCTGTTTGGGTTTTGCTATGGAATTTGCTGATTAGCTAATTTGATAGGTTTGGGATTCTGCAGGTTTATGTGCCTCCTCACCCGCTGATCAAGCACTGGGTTTCCGTATTGAGAAACGAGCAGACTCCTTGTCCCATTTTCCGTGCGTATAAGTGGCCTCCGGGGTCTTCTATCCCGCCCTTTTCATCAAGTTTTGATTTTTGTTGCCGCCCCAATTGTTTTATGGCTCTGTTGTTCAGATTAGGTGGCATGGTGGGTTTTGGACTTACTTACCTTTTCGTTTTGTTTTTGTTTCCAGGGAATGCTATGGCTGAACTTGGAAGGTTACTTTTGTATGAAGCTTCACGGGATTGGTTGGTGAGTTTGGCTTCTTCCTTGTTGTGATCTCAGAGCTAATTTTGTTGCACGATGCTCCAACTCGATCATTCCAAGACGAGTTGCAGTTTACTGGGGGGTTTTTTTTTTTTCTCACTGTCAAATGTGACTTGTTTCTTTCTCTGCCTGGATATACTTCATGACCCTGGATTCTTGTGGTAGAAATTACAAATCCAATGGCTTACAGATGATTCCTTGACAGTTTTAATTTTTTGGTTTTCTTCTGCCAGCCTACTGTTTCCGGGGAGATCCAGTCACCCATGGGAGTTGCCACAGTTGAATTTATTGATCCAAGAGAACCAGTGGCGGTTAGTTTACCGTCGGCCTAACTTGTAGTTGTTGTTCCTGTTAAACTTCATCTTGAATCCCTTGTTGGTAAACCAATGGTCTAGTAAAGAGGAAAAGGAGGCCCCAAATTTGTGAGAATGGTTGAATTTTTAAGGTAAATCTGAAAACCACAAGAAGGAACTATCAGCCTTCATTAATATGCATGTGTAGTGCATGCTTATCTTACCAACTATTGTTGAAGCTCATTTGCTCAAGTAATAGTGTTTTCCAAAAATGGTTGTAATCTTGTTGAATGTAGTAGCGATCTGGTTCCTTCTTGAATTGTAATGCACGATTAGTGGTGCAGGTTATTCCTATTTTGAGAGCTGGTCTTGCTCTGGCAGAGCATGCATCTTCTATCTTGCCAGCAATGAAGACCTACCATCTAGGTGAGGCAGGATTCCATGTATGCATATCTGAGAATGTGGGCTTTGTTGTTCTGTTTGTGTGGAGCTATCTTCTTTATATGGTATTGCTGCTCATCTTGTGGTAATAAATGTCTGCCACTGCTAGTAGTCTCCCTCTCTTCTGAATGAGCTCTTGTCTGAGAAACATTTTGATGTCTTACCTCTCTCAATAATTTAGTTATGCTTCAGTAATCTCTGCCCCTGGCTCAGGCATAATGAATTCCGGTTGCCTACCCAGTTAATAAAATCCTGCTAACTTCTCTGTTATCGTTTTCCTTTTTAATGAGGTTTTAAACAAGTGTTGACTTAATAAGTTCGGTGCTTTATTTTTTCTTGGTAATTCAGGGCTGAGCCGTGATGAGGAGACACTTCAACCAACTGTATACCTGAACAAGTAAGAAGTGTCTACATTGATGACAAAGCAATTGAATTTTTCAATAGTAATCTCTGCTTTTTCCATTAGGTGTTGTTTCAGTGCTAAGATCCCAGTTACTCTAAATTTCTGAGCTTGATTTAGATTTCCTCCATTCCCATCCCCTCTAGACCCAAAAGGTCTAATCTCTCATGAAGTCCTTTGTGGTACCACTTTCAGGTTGCCTGACAAGTTCCCAGAAGGGTCTCGTGTGTTTGTGGTAGACCCTATGTTGGCAACAGGTATTGATACCCTGCTTATTGATATTGTAGCCCAATCAAAAAGTGCATTCCTTTTCAGCAGACTCTGAAGACTGCACAAAGTCCTAAAGCAAAGACCTTTTTTGTAATGTCAAGCTCTTACTGATTCTCAGGTGGAACTATAGTGACTGCTATTGAGCATGTTAAGAAGCGAGGGGTAACTAACCAGCAAATCAAAGTGGTAATTATTTTCTTAGATCATGTGTAGCTTCAGGATTTATTTGTATATTCCTCAAGTAGTTTATATTTCCAATCTTATCCTACCGATTATTGAATAAACTGTTTAATTGAGGGGCTGATTGCAGATTTCGGCTGTGGCAGCTCCTCCAGCCCTACAAAAGCTTAGCGACAAGTTCCCTGGGTATGCACATAATCTAGAGAAGTGGTGTTGATATATTATGGTATATGCTTGACATATTCTTAATCACTCTTTTATTTTTGCAGGCTCCACGTTTACACGGGAATCATTGATCCCACTGTCAATGAGAAAGGGTAAGTATATTGGATCCTATGAATCTATGATCGATGCATATAAGGCTTTACATATTATTCTCAGGTTTAGTAACATCGCCTTGGGTTGATCGTTTCAGGTTTATTATTCCTGGACTTGGAGATGCAGGGGATAGGAGTTTTGGCACATAAAAGCAAGATTGTGCCCATTAAGTCTGTAGTGCTGAAATCTCGAGCCTGCAATTTTTGTTTATAGATTTGAGCAATTGTGGTATGTACATTCACTTTCGTCAGCAGAAAGCCAGAAGTCATTTGAATGCTCTACTAAGTTACTTGGTATCAGTTATCAATCATCTCTCGTCAAACAGACTATCATTTATCGATAGTACATTCACTTGTCCAAAAAGAAATTGGCCTCCAATGTCAAATGTATTCGAAGGGGAGGAGAAATGGAAGAAATGCACAAGGAAAGATAAACCTACTGATGGGACTGTTTTGTTTTGTTTTTATTTTATTCATTTACTATTTAGTATTTACTCAAACCCTTCCCGGACAATTTTACGATAATGTTTATTTTTTATTTAAATCTTTTTAAATCTTTTATATTATACAAACCTATTAAAATGCTATTAATTAGTCAATTTGTTTTTTTTGGGTGAATAACAGAGCGCAGAGGGGGCACTCTAACCCTTAAGCATTAACACTATGTTTGGCAACAAGGGGGGTGCAAATTCAAGGAGGGTACAAGTTGAGGTGTAAATGATAGGGGGAGCAAAATGAATGAAGGAGTAAATTTGGGTGCAAATTTCTGTTTCGGAGAAAAAGTAGGAGGGTGTAAATATGTGTGGGTGTTATATTAATTATTAATATTTAATTAGAAAAATGAACAAAAAATCAAAAACATTTATTTTTTTACTTCCCATCATTTATCTCTTCCCCAGGTTTAGCCATTCTTCCTTATCTCTTCGACTCTCTCCCTCTCTCACACCAATTCTTCCTTCTTGATAAAAATCAACTACTATAATTCATTGGAAAAAAATCAACTACACATATCATCCTCTTCCTCTGCCTTTCAGCCGCTTTCCATCTTCCTTCTCTGATTGCTCCGCCAGCTTTGAGGAGAGTGGCGACCTGGGAGCTGAACGACAATGGCGGTAGAGGGAATCCTTTATCCACTAAGTTTGCGGCATGCATGTTGTTGTTTGGGCTAATTCCGATTTTTGGGTATTTATTGCTTCTTTTCTTGATTCTGGATTCTGGATTTTGCTTCTTGATTATGTTTTTCAGGCCACCAGCGGGATTGTTGTGCGGGCTTCTTCTTCAACTGTCCGGCGGAGGCGCCGATTCCGACGTCGGCGGAGACGGACCAAAAGGAAGAGAGGACGATGCGATGGACCAGAAAAGAAGCAGCAAAAAATGATTCATCGGAGCTTTTTGTTGAAGGAAAGAATGTAGAGGGAAAAGGAAAATAGATGTTGGGTTTTGACGAAGGAAGGGAAGAGATGAGCCAGACGGAAGAAAAAAAATTCAGGAAAAAAGTTATAAGTTTTCTGATTTTTCTCTCTCCACTTCCGCCCGGATTTGGGGTGCACGCTGGAACAGGAGATTTGCACCTTCTATTAACCGCCCCCCTACTGTTCAAAAATTTACCAAATAGGTGCAAACACCTCGGGAATGTCATTTACCCCTGAATATCTACGCCCCCCTCAAATTACGCCTCTTTCCAAACAGAGCGTAATAATCCGGGGTATTTGAACCCCAATAAGGTCATACATCAGCCAGTGGGTCAAGTGAGGGCTCGGAGTGTTAAAAACATGCACTCCCACCAACAGAGGCCATAAAATCAGCTGTCGTAATTACCCTCCCGGAACACATGATCAATACTAACCTCCCAGCCTCTCTCTAGTAGCCTGTGGATAGCAGAAACCATTGTGTAATGGGGATGATAGTCAGTTTGGAGCTTGACTTTCCTTGCTCCAGTCTCCCACGCACTGTGCAATCCTTGGGCAATCCCTGCGAGGTTAGTGGAGAAAGCTTTAATGAACCACCCATCACTACCTCTGATCACTCCGCCCGTCCCAGAGCTGGTGCCACTGCCATCAGTGTTAACAGCAATCCAGCCTGGAGGAGGACTCTGCCAGTGCCAGCTGATCATATCATGACTACTCTGTTGCCTGCCATTATCAAGGATGTCTTGCGCCTTACAAAGTGCAAGGCCAGCTTGGTACCGCAGCCGCTTCGCTCTTGCAGCTAAACCTTTCATCGTGGAGATAGTCTTAGCTTCTCGAAGGCCCACTCATTCCTATTTTTCCACAAGTTCCAACAGCGGTGTGTCAAGCACCTTACCACGACCACTCAAATAGTGAAGAAACCATTTCCTGGCGTTCGGTTCGAAGAAATCTATATCCGACTCACCTTGCAGTACAGACACGAACAACGTGGATGAACGTTTCTGATTCGCCACCGCAGATAGGACAATGAGCTGATTGAGTCAAGTGTCGTGAGGTGGCAATTGGATCGGATTCGTGGATCCATGGATCAAATGGATTGGTGGATTCATGGATTGGATCAAATGGATTGGTGGATTGATCCATGAATCCAAATGACATCAAAGGCTTGGACCAAAATGTAAAATTTGAAAAGTTTTGGTACTAAAATGTCATAATGAAAAATTTTAGGTACCAAAATGTAATTTTCCAATGATATTTTTTGTATAAAAATATAAATTTTAGGTATCAAAATGTAAAATATAAAAAATATAGGTATCAAATCGTAATTTGCCATTTGGATCCATGGATTGATCCATGAATTCACCAATCTAATTGGATTTGGATCAAATGGATTGAATTTAAATGGATTGAATTAGGTGGATAATTTGGTGGATGGATTGAATTGGATTAATGAATTTGTATCCCAGTTGCCACCTCTAGTCTTAACTTTCCTAATTTGTCAGGAGCCGATCGGCAACGCCGACTAGAGAAAAGTCTTTACACGTTGGGGCCCTTGGAATCACCATGTCTGCTTCCAAACTGGTTGTAATTGGCGATGCTCTTCCCCATGCCGTCACGAAACCACAGAATTACCTTTTACATTCGTTTCTGCTAATCATTTGGTTTTATCCCAATTATTGAGTTCCACAATAATATTATGTTTTTGAACTGTCGTCATTGCATTTGGATTATTTTGGCAGGCGCGAGTCATGATTCCTTTAGCGAGACTCATTTGATTCCTTTAGCATGCATACACTTCTTCAGTTTAAGCCTATATTTTTATTGCCAACTGATTCCCATGCCAACTAAAATCAATCTCAATTTCAGTTTAAGCCTATATTTTTATTGACAACATCTAATACATATTCGATGCCTTTTCTAGATATTTCAAATTTTTGGTACTATAAAAAATCGGAGCGAATTGGGTGACTGGTGGAGTCACCTCTTGTTGTCGAAGTATGTTTCTAGATATTTTGCAATGAATTTCTGCCATCTTAGAGTGGTTCGCATTTCATGATGATTGCCTGTCATGGCCATATTGTTGAGATTTTTTGCAACAATGTAAATTCTTCGCTCTTCTTCTCCCCTTCGAGCTGTAAAATTATATAGTTAGTAGAATATCGATTCTCCCTAAACCCTAAAATAGATAGAACTTGCAAAATTAATTTAACTCATAGTCTCATGCAGAGGCGGATTCAGGGGGGCGCCCCAGGTTGCGGCCCAGCCCTCCTCCCAGTCCTCCTCTGGATCAGAGCTAGCATAGCACTTGTAAATTTTTTTATTTTCCATATTCATTTAAGTGTTCGTTGAGCTACGGCTCAGGCCACTCTGTCTCTTTTCAAAATGTGGCCTAGTGCTATACCCAATCCTAGATCCGCCGCTGATGTGTACCATGGGTGCGATGACTGCACAGATTGCGCCAAAGGCAATCGAACTCATCTTCGTAATTCCTATGATAATCCTTGACAAACGCGTTCAGGAAGGAAGACCGCAAACTCGAAAATGTTTTCAAGAGTCGGAACTGTTTACATTTTGTTAGAAAAATCATTTTTAAGGCCAACTTCAATACAAGCCCCAAATTTGGAGATTGTCCCCATTTTATTCAATTTGGCTCTAATGCTACCACCCCCAATTATTTATTTATGAATGGCTTTACCTTTTATTTCATCAAAAAGCAAGTTACTATGTGGTAACACCCTTTACCACTAAGGAATCGACACTACTTCTAAAGAACCAATAAAAAACATAACTCTGAGCCAGAGACATAATTCTAGAAGAATTGCTTAACCATCTCACAATCACATAAGTGAAGAATATAACCCAACATCTGCTCCTTTACTTCAGCCACCTCCCTTGCTCTTTTACCATTGCGAATGACACATCTTTCTCGCCAAATTCCAGAAATGAAGGATTGCCAGATCAATCTTCCTGCTTGTGAAACAACATCTGATACATCAGAGAAAGAATCAACAGCCAATTTGAGCTTAGTTTGCCAATCATTTGAGACTTGCCTGTCTGTAATTTTAGCAAATAACCCTGCAAACATCTCATTGTATCTCCTACACTCAGAGAAAAGATGATTATGAAATTCCAATCCACTATCAAAGAATACACAACGAAAAGCCCCTTGATATCCCCTGTAGTAACGAGTCCTCAAACAATTAACCAGCTCAGAAATTGGTTTCTGGGAATAGAAAGACTCTTCCATATCAGCTTATGCCAGTTTACTGCTTCCTGCCGAGGTCTGAAGTGTTCCCAAATTAGCTTGATGGAGAATTTCTTCAAGTTCTTACCTTTGCAACTACATTGGCCATCTGTCACTACAATGTGGCTTTGCACTTGTTCTCTGAGCTTCAGAATTTTCAGCCATAAACAGTACCCTAATTTACAGGTAACTTCCCAAAAATTCTGATTATGAATTGTGTACTCCTTCATCCAGGCCACCCAAAGTGACCCTTGCTTGACTAGTAAATCCCAGATATGTCGAACCATACATGCCTTATTCCAGCTATAAATATCCCTCAGACCCAGCCCTAATTCTTTCTTAAGATAGTAGATTTTTTCCCAGGTCACAGTTGCTCTCTTCTTAACCTCTTTGCCAACACCCCATAGGGAATCACTACAAAGTTTTTCAATTTCCTTTATATCTAGCTTAGGAAGAATAAACAATCCCATCCAGTATTGAACAAGACTGTAAAGGACTGAGATGACCTGTTGAAGCTTACCCGCATAAGTTGCATAACTAAGCATTTTAGATCCTCAACTTTGGACTCGTCCCATTAACTTGTCAATGAGAGGTTTACAGGCCTTGACAGACAACTTACCTGGAATGAGAGGAATTCCTAGATATCTGACTGGCAATACCCCCAATTTGTAACCTGCCCTTTTAGCCATAGCTTCCTTTCATTCTTTAGAAAGACCCCCACAAAATAATTCACATCTAGGACATAATTAAAGCATTGAAGCCTAAAATTGGATCCATCAGAGAAGATCATCAGGTCATCTGCAAATATTATATGAGTCAAACCAGCTCTTTTACACTTAGGGTGAAAATGCATCCTCTTCTCCTCCACTGCCTTAACCATTAAACAACTAAATACCTCCATAGCTATTGCAAATAGGTAGGGATACAGGGGGTCACCCTGTCTTAGTCCTTTTTGGCCTGAGAAGTAACCTGCTACACCTCCATTGAAACATACATTGAGTTTAGGGGTAGTAATACACATTTCAATCCATTTGATAAATTCCAATGGAAACCCCATTGCTTCTAGCACTGTTAACACAAACGACCAATCTACAGAGTCAAATGCTTTCATTAAGTCCACTTTGACAATGCTACGGGGAGAAATAATTTTTCAGGTATACTTTTGAACCAGTTCATGTGCAAGCAGAATGTTTTCACCAATAACTCTACCTCTAACAAAGGTTGTCTGATTTTCACTAATGACCTTTGGCAAACATTCACTCAATCTAACTGTTATAATCTTAGCAATACACTTATAAAGTATATTACATGATATGATCCCAAATGGTCCATTGTACACGTTTCATTTACTTGACGAAGAAGCTATTGAAGTTGGGAAGAAGAATGGCAGAATTTGGCTAAGTCAAAATCCGTGTTCAGGATACATAGTTTGGAGGCATGGTTCTCTCAATTGGCTTGGTGGAATTTCAAGTTTAATGATTTTTTTTACAGAAAAAGTTTCCATGTTTACAATGGTATACTTTGTGGATCCAGAAGATGTGATTAAGGTTGTTTTCCAAGACTTCAAAGTTGCTACCTCAAAACTGGAAAACTGCCAGAAAATTACTAAGGCAGAAAACTGTTTTGTGAAGCCTAATTTGGAGCTTAATTCGAGGAGTATGGATCTGATTCAAGTTCAAAGTCTTTCACAAAATGAAACTAGGTATGTTTATCTACCAAGGGAAGGAATCAGATGAAATATTGGAGTTCTGGAAGGCCTCGAACAGAAGGCGCGAAGTTAGTACGAAATCACAGAATTTCTGCCTTTGTAAAACATGATCCTCTTTCCTAATTCAACTATGATTGTTAGATTTGATTCCTTTTCGAGTAAGATTGTATTTAGACTTCCTTTTTAGTTGTTAGACGTAGCTTAGGTTTATTAAAAGCTTTCTTTTACGTTGTAAACTCAGACTTTGTTGAATAGAAATCGAAACCTTTGGGTTTTTGCAAGTTTGCGTACTTGTGTGAACTTTGGTGGATTCCAAACTCGTTGAGCTCTTGTATCGATCAAGAACGCGTTGATCGTGGCCGGGCATCTATCATTATACCAATCGAGCCTTTCCTCAGGTGTGGAATTGCACTTTTGGTTCCGTTTTATCCAAGTTCGTATTAAAGACGTTTCGTTCTTGTTCGAGCTCAATCGATCCTTCGATTGAGTCGTTAGCTGCGTGACTTTGATCACATACACCCCTAGGGGCGTATTATTACAGCAAGATATAGGCCTAAAAAACTTCATTTCCTCAGGTTCTTTATCTTAGGAATTAAAGCTAAGGGGGTAGAGTTGACGTCACCAGGGAAGCTTGATATGGAAAAGCAGTACTAAATAACTTCAGTGATCTCCTGCCCTACAATACCCTAAGTAGCTTGAAAGAAACATGCTGAAAACCCAAACAAGGTGGCTCGTACTTCTTCAGAGGTGAC